TTTACATATTATTGTATATAGGAACCTTAGCCCTTCCTTGGTTCCACCCCTTATAACTCCTTTGTTTTTGGGTAACAAATTTCGGGAACGAACTTGCAAATTATTGCTAATTATAACGAGTGTTTTGACGCCAGTTTTGAACGTTTCTGACAACATGTCAGGGCTGGGGTGGAAAACTTTAAAAAATCGTAGGGGTTGAAATGTTGACTTGCAAATTTCGGTAGTGGACTTGCAAATTCTTGCTAATTATAACGAGTGATTTGACACCAGTTTTGAAAGTTTATGACAACAAGTCAGGGCTACGTGAAGTTGGCCCTTCCTTGGTTCCACCCATTATAACTCCTTTGCTTTTGACTTGCAAATTTTGGGAGTGGACTTGCAAATTCTTGCTAATTACTTGCAAAATAATGGCACTGTCCAAAACTTTTTTTGAAAAAGTGTAAGGGCCAACTTCACGGACGTACTTTAGTCGCATAATAATATTATTTTATCAAGGATTGTTTTCCACGGACTTTGCGTGGAGCCCGAAATGTTGATTACAAAATATCTACACCTAATCCGTAATATTGTACTACAACCCTCTAGCCTAACTAGAACTTAGAACTTAGAACTTCATAGACTCGTAGTATAAAAATAACCTAATTAATTCATAAGTTATAACGTTATATTGACATATTGTGAGCAATGGATTTTGAATTGACGGCATATTTTGTTATAAATGAACAAATAAATGACCTAGAAATAAGAAATAGTTTCCAAAGGCCAACGTATGATGCTTTTACATTGACGGATAAACTATTCATGAAGAATTTTCGGCTATCAAAAGAAGTAACGCGGTATTTAATTAATGTGTTAGAACCATACGTTGTAGTTGATACAATTGTCATCACACGATTGTCTTCTATTGATATCCACACAAAAGTAAATTAAAAATTCATAATTATTAATCTACCTACATTGTGTTAGGGAACATTTAAATTGTTAAATTTAAGTTAATACATGGCATTTGGGAAAAAGAATATAAAATTTATGTGATCGCTAAGCTAGATTTGATCCTTATTATCATTTGAAGTCTAAAGGCTAAAAAAAATATTTTTTTTTTTAGGATTTAGTAGCTTTAAATTTCTTTGCTACTGGGTCGTATCAAACATCAGTTGGCAATAGTCGATTGATGAATTTGTCACAGTCATCTGTATCTAGATGTGTAAAAGAAATAGTTGCTGCTTTGAACCAACCCGAAATTTTTAACACTTGGGTAAAATGTCCCAGTAATATTCAAGAACTTGATGAAGTTCGCAACGAGTAATATATTAAAAATATAGGTACATTATAAAAATATGTGCAGTTTGAAACTAATTTTGTTAAAACTATGAAGATTTTATAAAAAGACGGGATTTGCTGGAGTCGTAGGCTGCTTAGATTGTACCCACAAAGCCATTGTGTCTCCTTCAAAAAATTTGAATCTTGTTGAAAACCAATACCCAGAGTATATACTATATATATGTAAACCGCAAGAATTACCATTCAATTAATGTTCAGCTGGTAAGTAAGATTACCTACTATTATAATATTACAAGTAAATCATAAATATTATGCTTCCTAAGTACCTACCTATAAAATGCTCCACGTTTTAAATATAGGTATGTGATTCAAATCTAAAAGTACTCAACGTAAATGCATTATTTCCCGGAAGCACTCATGATGTTCATATATGGAACAACAGTAATGTTTCAATCATGCTTGAAAAACTGCATGGTCATAATTATAGTGACAACTTTTTATTAGGTAAATGCGTAAATGTTATTTAAAAATATTACCTAACCATAAAAATTTGAATACCTACCTACTAAAAAGAGATTGGTACATTATTATCATCCTTCTCAAAGTGTACATATTTTAAGAATAATTATTACAAACATTTATATATATATGTTACGGTCCAAGTGGATAAATGGACATTGTAAACACTGACCGGACAAAGTTTACAATGTCCGAATTATTCAAGCCATGTAGATAATTATTCACATAAACCAGACAATGTATACAATGACCAGAACTACAGGTGCCAAGTGAACAAAATACATATATTAATGACTTATATAATTTTATTTAATATTTTTGTAAGAGATTTGATTAGCAAATAAAATTGAGAATATTTTATTTATATTAATTTTTATTGAATATTGAAATTATTTATATTTACAAGTATTACCATTATGGCATTTAGAGTTACATAAAATTCCAGCAGCTTTACATTTGCATCTCCTTGTTTCGCATTTTTGAACACAAGTGCAGCGGTCATAGCCTTGGCCTCCTAGATTTGAAAATAGCCTAGCTGCTTCTCTTAGTGACAACTGAATATCGGGGACTTCATCAACACTCACAAACTTCTCCTTGCAAATAGTAAATTGATTTCTACTATAATAATGTTGCAGTTTACCTTTGGTTGTGCCCAATTTATAATTTCCGTCTTCCACTATAAAAAAAAATTAAATATAAATAAACATATTAAACAACAAATAATAATTAAAATGTTATTGTTTATAATACTTGATATAATTACTGCCAAAATTGATCGTAAGTCGCTTCGAGCTCTATCTACGTCTGGAATTTTTATTTTTACTGAATCTCCAATGTTTCCATCACAAAATCTTCTTTCAGAAAGAGATTTCATTTTATTTGCTTGCTTTTCTAAATTCTGCACAGATTCATTTCTTTTTATCTGAATAGAAAGTTTTCTAGAGTTTAAAGCATCCTCAGAATTATCATTTTCTTCATTTTCTTCTATAATCACTTCATTACCTTCCTTGTTTTTTTCTTTATTTTCTTCCTCTTCAATAGTGTTTAAGGCTTTTTCTAAATCTTCTTCTGTTTTCAATTTTTCTACTACATGCATTGGGAGTACACAATTATTTAATCCAATTTTAGCCCTAGAGCCAAACATAGCTTCGTACGGTGAAGATTTAATGCCATGATGAAAAGATCGATTTTTCATGAATTGTACGAATTTTATGCCTTCGCTCCATTTTTTGGTCTTATTGTCTTGCAACCACGTTCCTAACATATTCTCTATGTCTTGGTTGGCACGTTCGACTGAACCTTGACTTTGAGAATGGCGAGGCTTACCATGTACTATTTTCAAATCTTTCCACATACTACATAATTCTTCTACTATCTTGTTAGAAAATTCTCTACCATTATCGCTTTGCAATATAGCTGGAGCACCAAAAGTTGTAAATATATCTAGTAAAACATAAGCAACTTCCTCAGCACGTTTATTAGATAAAGGACGCAAGTTTATAAATTTAGTTAAATGGTCTTGATAGACTAAAATAAACTTATAATTACCATCAGGCTGGGCCTGCATGTCAATTAAATCTATTTGACACCTTGAATTCATTTCTTTTGATATAATAGGTTTGACTACTAAGCCTTTTTTAATTGTACTTCCTTTTTTTTGGCATGATTCGCATAAGTTCAAGTATAACATAATTGCCTCCCTTGTTATATTTTTATATTTAATATTTAACTCGTGTTCCATTCTACTACGACCTCCGTGACCGATTGATAAATGAGTTTCATGGAGGATATTAAAAAGTTCTTCGTTATGCACGTAATATTTAATTTGGTTACCTTCATTTATTGGAACAACAAGTTTTTCCACATTACACACTCGCATTGTATCATACTTCTTAATCAATTTATAATCATTTGGAATTTTGGTTTTTTTCAATTTTAATTCTTTTAAATGTACTATAAGCCCATCATATTTAAGTTTGCTTAAATATGTACTGTTAGGTTTTTTAAGATCTAAAATATTATTTAAACGATTATTAAACGTATTTTCCATTTTAAAAACAACACGCACAAATACTACACAATTATAACACAGCACTAAACGGCACAGGTAAACAGCAGTACGCGTACTGTCGTCTATGATAAATATGGCTATACGCCTACATAAAGTTCCATGATAATAATAATTGCGATATAAATTGTTGTTATTGATGGAGGACGAATATCAAAGGGGCATATGTTGAAAATGCTCACCGATTCCTATTTATCTACTAATGACACTACCGATAAAAGTTATCGTAACCTGTAGGACGTGGTGCCTAAAAGAAATAACAAAATTAAACTCTAAAATAACTCTAATATTCATATTGACCACACCAGTTTTAGCATTGTATACAATGACTGGACATTGTATTACAATGACCTAGTTTATACAGGAATTATATATGTATTATATACTTTGCCCAAATGTCTTAGACATTGTATACAATGTCCGGACATTGTATTACAATGACCTAGTTTATACAGGAATTATATATGTATTATATACTTTGCCCAAATGTCTTAGACATTGTATACAATGTCCGGACATTGTATTACAATGACTGATTTGTCCACCTGGACCGTAACATATATATGATAGGCGATTCTGGTTATCCCTTACGACCGTGGCTCTTAACGCCAATTGCTCAACCAACAACAGCAGTCGAAGAAAATTATAATAAAAAACAAATGCATGTAAGAAGTGTGATAGAAAGATGCAGTAGAGTCCTAAAAATGCGGTTTAGGTAGAAAATCAATATTTTCTTAAGTTTTGTTTATTGTGTAATAATATTGGTACTTTTAAATCATGTGTAAGTGTCTTTTGAAAGACAGAGTACTCCATTATAAGCCTAAAAAAGCCACTGCTATAATTAATGCATGCATTATTCTACACAACATGTGCATCGAGCACAATATTTCAGAAGTGATGGATGAAACCGTAGAAGATTTTGATTTGGGAATGTATCAAGAGCCACTCAATGAACATATTAATGATAACCATAATGGAGATTTGATGTTATGAAGAAGGCAACGAGACCGTATGTAGGGTTTCTACAAAATCAAAATGTATTACAAGCATAATCAAATTTAAAAAAGTAAATTGTACTGTGTATTTAAAATCATTGTAATTGAAAATAAAAAAACATAATTTAATGTAAATACTAAATCACTGCATATAAATTCTTACTAGGCTTTTGAGTACTTTTACGTTTTGGTGACTGGTAAAAATGGGTCTCTATAGGTTTTGGAGATTTTGAAATTTCAATGGTAGCTACAAAACATGTAATTCACATAATATATATATATATTAGTCAAAAACAAAATAAAATTATTGCAGTTATACTTGGATCATTAGTTAAAATGTGATATGGTTGTACATATGCAGAAGTTTCAAAAATCTGTGGAACTTCACTTTCGGTAAAATTGAGGGCTATAAGATAATTTGTAAATCATATACAAAGCATTAAAAATGATTTATTAATTAAATTATTATAATATAATATTAATTGATTTGAATTATTATTCAAAACACTCACTATCACAATCATCTTCCATAATAATTTCTATGTTTTCATCAAATTGAGAACTATCTACACATTTTGTAGTACTGTGACCTAATGTGAATTCAACTATTGATTCTTGACTATTGTTATGCCCTGTAATAGCAATCTCAGTGATGTGTGCTATGGCATCTGATTGAACTTCGGTTAAGCTCATGTTACACGGTGGTCCGTATCCAGTTCCACGGCTATGACGTTTTATCGCAGAAGCCTTGGCTTTTGCCGTATTTTTTGTATCTTGCCATGCCTAATAGTAATAGTTACAATAGGTATTAAGAATTATCTGAATGAGTGTAATGTTTTTAAATATTCAACTGATAATTTTTCAATATGTAATCTACAAAATGGTTAGGTTAGTGGCCTATAATGTTCTATCATATTAAACAGCATATATACAATAAGTAATACAATTTGTTCAATCATGAATTATACCACATTCTTAAAAAATGTATGCTTAGTACAAAGCATATTTAAATATGATTGCCGGAATGTCGTGACAAGTTTTTAACAATAAAGATATGAAGCCTCTTATAAAAATCGTAATTAATTTTACATGTATGTTAAATGTAATGACTATAATTTTTTATAACAATTGGTTTACCCTGCATCATAAACTATAATAATATTCAATAAGCTAAAAAAAATAGTGTAGAATATGTTTGGGAGGGCTATTGACATTTTGCAAACTACATTTATATAGGTATTACAATAATAATGACCATATAAATCACATATTAGTCAAACTAAATATAAATTACCTTCTTCCACTTATCCCAAGGTTTATCAGCGCCTGGTAACGCGTTTAGTTCCCAAGCTATTTCCTCCCACATTTTTTTGGCAATCTTCTGAGTGAATGTAGCAGTGAACTTCCCGGACATTAGTGCCGGGTTGAGTCCTAATAATTCTACCAGCATTTTCATTTGGCCCTTAGTAGGTCGGTTCTTCACGGTGGTAAGTTTCTTGTCACTAATGTCACTCATCATTGTAGGTATTAAGTAGTAACCTATTATTAGTAACGTATAGTAATAAGAAACACCAAAAAAGTCACAATAAAACAATTGACAACAAATGAAGTACTTACTTAGTCTAGACTAGTACGATTTAATATCGTGATTCGGTAGTTATGGTATTAACTCATGACAAATTAGTATTTGCTATTTAGTTGTAAGTACAATTAAAATTTTAATAGTTTTTAATAGTATCATTTATTTGTAATCACTTATTATTTTTACAGTTTGATGTTAGAATAATGTATTTATTATTGTTACTGCGGTGGTTCATGCGAGAAAATTTATCGCACTCGATAAAAGATAAGACTTTATCGATGCTAGTTCGGGAATAGATCTCGTTACTCGAATTCGATAAACTTTAGTCGTATTCAATAATTTTATCATTATATCGCATGCCCTAGGGGCCCTATTCTCGAATTTTATCGCATTCGACATAAAACTGAACTCGATCGATTCGTCGTCTATAGTATTCTCGAAATAATGTATGACTTTTCTCCAACGAAAAACGTTCGACATTTTGTCTACTGCTATATCGCATTCGACAAGATTTAGTCGAATGATTTTTTTTATTTTCGAGCACCATAGATGAAATAATATATTTCAGTTTCACACCAATCAAGTGCATAATACTATGATTATTGATTAGTCTTCTTGTATTCTTGTGCGTAATTATTAAGAAAATCTTGATAACTATTATTTAACATTTTAGAGAATATTAATTTGTTTGTAATAATAAATTTTAAATAAAAAATTATGAAAAAATAAGAAAATCATTGGCAGTATACATGTACAATATACTCATATGTGGTATGAAATTATAAAATAAGGCCCAGAATAAATATAAGTATAAAATATGTAAATATGTTTTACAAACAAAATAAGTAACTATTGGTTACTAAATTAATTACATACAAGTCATACAACAGAGTATTGTCATGTACTCATGAGTCATGTTATTACATCTTATTAATTTATTGACCAAAAATTTTATTTTGCCAGGTAAGCGAGTGATTTGGGTGGTTGACATAACTCACAAAATACTCCCTGACATCCTTTGCATTTGTCTGAGCGTTGCCAACTCCTCTTCTCTCAGTTATACTTTCCATACCACAATTCAAGCTATAATCAAAACTAAACCCACCACGGCGTCTCACAAAGTTGTGTAAAACACAACAGGCTTTGATTATTTTGACTGCAAAATTTGGTTCAACCAACATACTAGTTTGAAAAACTCTCCATTTCTTTGATAAGATTCCAAACGAACACCCAATGTACTGACGGACTCTTAACAAACGATAATTAAAAATTCGTCGTTCGTCATTTAGTGTTCTGCCAGGAGACGCTCGCAATATAAATTTGTATTCAGAGCAAAGGCCTCGTCAGCCACGAGTATAAATGGTTGTGGTACACCTTGATCATCCCCGGGTAGACATCGTTCGGGTGGAAAGTTTACTCTGTCTGAATATAACTTCTTGCCTAATGGTGACATTTTGAAAACATTACAATCACTTTCTTTGCCGTAAGATCCAACATTAATGATGCGAAAACAATCATTTGAGACGCAAATTGCCATAAGTATAAGTAAAAAAAAATGTTTGTAATTGTAATACAAAAACCCGCTATTTTTAGGGCATTCTAATCGTATCAGTTTTCCATCAACCTGTAATTATTAATAAAAAAAATAATTGTTATGTTATTCACTGCAGTCAACACTCAAGTATTATCAATTTGCTAACCTACATATTATTATTATTAATATCATTTAATTTATTAGGTAGGAACATGCAACAAAAAATTTAAAAAATTGTTTTGTTGTAATGAATTGTAAATAAATATTTTTTTCAGTGGCACGGAATGCACTTTCAGTTTACGGAACCCGTTCTGTGTATACGCACCGGCCGGTGTCACTGGCTCCCGGATTGGTTTTCCCATCCTGGGATTTTTAGTGACAAATCATTGCCACACATACACACACATGAAAAAAACCTACAGTACCCTATGCTAATGACCTCAGTAGCCGAAGCCCTAACCCCAATAAAAAAAAAAATATTATTTTAAAAATGAAAATTATTTAAATGATTTTAAAATGCATAATTATACAATGCAAAAATATATAATTTATTTTTTACATATATTATTTACTTATAATATGCTTTCATTTTTCGAAAGTTTATATCTAATAAATAAAAAACAAATCAAATATTTTTTGTTTTATTTATTTATTTTTATGTTATAATAATATTTATTTATATATCCTGATGCTATATCCAGCCAATCATTTAGTTGTGGGCTCTGACATCTCAATTGGCTGTAATATGTCCCATATAACCTCGCATGTTTCCATTACTATCTATATTCGATATGGTCGACACTCCCATCAGAAACTCGAAATGTAATACTGAGAAATGTGTACCACAAGCCAAATATCTCAATATTGTAATATCGTATGAAAATTATTGAAACAAAAATGTATATAACTTTAAATACTGAGCTGAGCAAAGAAAAATTTACCGAAAAAACATTGACATTTATTATGAGCGTTTGAAATAAAAATTATGTTACGTTAAACTCGAAACCTAGGTAAATCGACGTTTTAAAAATGATGGTGCCAAAAAAAATTTGCGCAAACACTTGGTTTTTGAGTTATAGCCGTTTGAAATTCAATAATTATCGATTTTTGAATTTTGAATTTTGAATTTTTTTGTGGGGTACTTATGTATAATGACGTTTTAAAAATGATGGTGCCAAAAAAAATATGCGCAAACGCTTAGTTTTTGAGTAACTCGTCTTGAAATACGATGATTACCGATTTTTGAATTTTTGTTGCACCGAGTCACGTTTCGGTTGGGCTTGAAATCACCGTAATCGGCTGCAGTATGCGATCTGCATTATTTGTGAAACATGTCATCTCTTAATCTCTTAAATATTTTTGAACTTTTCTCGTGCAAAACAAACGGGCCCGTTAGTATTGAAGTACTGGAAAAACTTCAAGAATGGAATTTAATTTGCAAAAATGATACACTCAAGTGTAACGAAGGGCATTTTCTCTGTTTGTGTCCCATGAATAGTGCTATCGATGGATTTATATGGCGATGCCGAGAAAAAATAAACAAAAGGTCTTCGAGATGCGAATTTTTTCAATCAATTCGCAAACACACTTTTTTTTAAATCTCATCTATCCCTTTTTCAAATTGTGTCTTTTTCTTATTTGTGGCTTAAAAATGTTTATCTGTGTTTTATAATGGAGCAAATATNCCGCAACAGCCGGGGGTGCTAGGGGTGCAAAGAACCCCCGGGCCCCCTGTAAATCATAACAATGGGCCCCGGGGCCAGTGGCCGAACTATTTGGAAATTGTTTTCTTTTAAAATATTTATTTGTTATTTAAAAATAGAAATAGAAAATATTATTAACTTATGAGTATGTTTAACAGTTATCGCAACCCGCATCGCCAAGACACGCCATACAAGACGTCTTATTTAGGTCTTCGGTGTATTTAATAGGTAGTGACATTTCCAAGAACAATTTATACATGTACAGAAAAATAATGGTTAGTCGTTGCCGGATAAATTGAGCAGGCATCGGCGGCGGCGGCGCGATAACGAAAGACCAGGGCCCAGGGGTACTCAATAAAATTGTGGTGCGCCGCGCGGTCAAAACACACCGCGACTAGTTTAGGATACACCGAAAAGTACCACCGCCGCCGCCTGCTCAATATATCTGGCAACGACTGTACAAAACATATTTTTTCTATTTATAGATTTATAGGAAATTAAAAAATATTATTGATAAATCCCAATTTCCCATAATAATATAATCACTATAATCACAACCAGCCGAACTGTCTTATTCTACGCTGCGTACACTGTGACAAATGACAATATAAAATTATTATTATATCAGTAATATTTATTTATTTACCATCGATTAACTTGTGTTTTTTACTAATAATTAAAAAAATCTATAATGAGCTCGAAAGTTAAAAGCGGCGCTGAAAAGCGGCGTTTAAAAGAAAAAGAATTATTTGAAAAAGCAGGAACTAATCCGAAGCAGAAAAAACTATGGTCATTTGTAAAAATCAATGATGAAGTTGAAGTAAGTGTATATATTTCCGGTTCTGTCCTATACAATTCTACATATTAACATAAAACAATTTATAAAATTGTTTTATAGTGCAAGATTATAATTAATATTAATTTATAAAATGTTATTATGATCGTTGAATACAATTGGTATATTAATATTGTAGTTTATTTGTAAAAAAAATAGATAAAAACAAACTCAGACAATGCTCTTGACAGTATTACAGCAATTGATCCAAAAGTGCCCCCTTCGACTTCGGCAAAATGTGAGTTAAATCTACCAAAACAAGACTGTGAATTAACATCGGAGTCAGTAACAATTTCAGTATGTATATTAATTAAATAAGTAAATAATAATAATAATATTATTATAACTAATAAAAGTTAAAAGTAACTTATATTTGAAGATAAATAACTTATTGTAATTAAGTTGTTTATAGATGTTTATTTTTATTAATAGTTTATTTTTTTTATTAGTCGATGAAATTTTAATACGTTTTAACTAATGAATTAAAAATGTATCAAACATAATAACTATGAACTTAGGTACTTAACTATTAACTTAACTTGTTTATATACAAATTTGTCCTTGTAATTTGTTTCCATAAATGCATTTTAATGTTGTGTTGGTAAAATATTAATATTAGTATATTTTGGTGTAGGAGATTGAAGTCACTACTTTATTAAATCATGATGATAAATTAGTAGCAGAGGTGGATTGCAATGAAATCTTGTCAAGTGAAGTAGATGGTGGTATGTAAAATTGTATTACTACTATTTATTTATTTCATTGAAGAATAGAATAATGTTTAAATACTATAAATATTAAATAGCATATATATTTATACAATTCTACAATTTGGGGACTTTTTTATCTTCAAAGTTAGTAAAAT